TAATTTCTTCATCCTTGCGGACAATTTCCAGACGAGCAGTTTTTATTAGAGCTGATATATTCTTCTTCAGCTGGGTATTTTCATTTGACAGGGTGGAGTTCTGTGAAGAAACAGAAGGGGGCACAATACTTTACAGCTCAGTTCATAATCGCACTGTAAGTGGTGGAATCATGTCAACTGTGTCCAACAGTACAGCTAGTAGACCACAACAATATACCAATCTGCCTCATATCGACAGTAAATAAAATGACATCCATTTGCTTTAACATAGGCATACTTAGTTCCCTTTTCCCATCATCTTCTGTGCGCTACTAGTCAGACCAACATGGACAAAGAAGGTTTTTCTTAGTTCACTGAACCAGATACACAGATCCCCACCTTGCCATTGTGGTGTTCAAGGCCTTCTTAAATCATCCAGAGTTTATGCCATTGTTCTTTATCAAAAAGTCCTTTTCCACAAATTGATCATTGTTTACATAACAAACAGCTTTGAAATATCTGTCCTAAATGTAAATTTGTATTAGTTTGAATCTGCGTTTCCTTATCTACCTGCTCTGTCCAGGTTGTATACCATTTCAATACGAAAACAAAACTTCCTCATCCTTACCTGGTCTGGCCTACATGTGACTCTAGACCCACACCAATATGGTTGATCCAATTACCTTCTGAACAATTGGGAAGGGCAATAAGTGCCAGCCAGCAGCAGTGACACCCCGTGAACAAATGAAGGAAATCCTTGTGAAAGTCCTTTTATTTTAAGCATTATGTTGCAACTAGCTTCATTTTCTAGTCACGATAGCTTAACTGCACAATCAGAGTTTGTATTGTCTTGGGGTGGGCCAGAGGAGGGGCTTTTCATATCTAGCACTATATCAAATATTTATTTGACATTTTCATATTGCTTATCTACTGGTTTAAGACATCAGTAATTGAGTCCAGTTTACTGTGCTACAGCACATATGTGAATGATGTACTGCAGTAACTCACTGTCTAGAAACCTCTACTGTTAAGGACAACAGCACCTATGTTATGCGATCATCACCTCAAAGCCAAATGCCTTCTGTTTTGGGATGCATATTGTTCCATTATTGCAACTGGGTCAAAATCCTAGAATTCTCAACACAACACCATTGTGAGAACATTATCTTCACAAGCATTTCAAAGCCAACCTTCATCATCTCAGGAAAATTAGTGACAAGCAATAAATGCATTCTTCCCAATATGGTCCACGCACTCAAACTGGATGAGAAAGATTTCCAGAAAGTCTTTGAATACTGAAGCTAGATACTCACACAGAAGGCTGGAACAAGGGACCAACATCAACGAGTTTCAAAATATGAAAATGATCAAAAATCACAGAAAGTGACTGAAGTTTTCTTTTGTCTCGAGCCATATTGTCCCATCTTTCAAAATAACAAGCAAAAACTGTGACAAATTCATGATTATCATGAAACAAATGGGATGATAACGTTCATCAATTACCTGGATTTGTACTTCATGCAGTTTTTTCAATAACTCTTCAACTTTTCTTTCTCTTTCAATGAACTTTTCATGAAACTGTCAAGATAAAAGTAAGTGGTACTGACATGTCTGCTCAAAGGCTCATCTTTTCATTGATCACTTACATTCTTGAAGATCATATTTCTTAACAGGACTTGTGCAAGGACAGATCAGAACAAGCAGAAATACTGCTTTCTGATACTGGCTTGAGAAAAAAGTTTACATGACAAAGTGACTCGGTTTTCAGCTCTAGAAAACAGCCGCGAGATGCTACAATGACAGCCCAAATGAGATTGGAGAAGAAAACAGTCAGTAGCTTTGAAAGAAATTTTTTTTTTTTTGAAAAGCTAAATGAGGATTCGGAGGTCCAATGAATCTGTACAGGGTTCCTCAGGACAGACTAAAATTGACCTCTATGATATTGCCAAGACATAAAAGGCCACTTTGATTCAATCTTCATTACTGCCGAAGATGAGCTTTTTACACATCATACAGCTGATTCTGGGGTTGTATTTATTTTGACATTTACACAAGTAACAATGGCCGGAACAAGTTTTCAAAACTGATTGGGTTGCTGATCCTGACAACATTTTTGGTTGATGCTCAACTAAATTGAGCCTGATTCCAGCAAACAGCTTATTTGTACATTTAAAAACCAAAAGAACTGCGGATGCTGTAAATCAGGAACAAAAACAAAGTTGCTGGAAAAGCTCAGCAGGTCTGGCAGCATCTGTGGAGGAGAAAACAGAGTTAACGTTTCGGGTCCGGTGACCCTTCCTCAGAACTGATGGTGGCTGGGAAAACGTCAGTTTATATGCAGAAAATAGGGAGGTGGGTAGGGTAGGGAGTAAACGATAGGATAGAGCCCAAAGAGAGAGAAAGACAGTTGGACAGACAAAGGAGTTGCTAACGATCAGGCTGGGAGGGTGAATAGTTGTTAACTTAGTCACTAACAGTCCCCATTAACAACTATTTACCCTCCCAGCCTGATCGTTAGCAACTCCTTTGACTGTCCAACTGTCTTTCTCTCTCTTTGGGCTCTATCCTATCGTTTACTCCCTACCTCACCCACCTCCCTATTTTCTGCATATCAACTGACGTTTTCCCAGCCACCATCAGTTCTGAGGAAGGGTCACCGGACCCGAAACGTTAACTCTGTTTTCTCCTCCACAGATGCTGCCAGACCTGCTGAGCTTTTCCAGCAACTTTGTTTTTGTTCCTGATTTACAGCATCCGCAGTTCTTTTGGTTTTTATTGTGAAACAATGAGATGTGTTTGCCAGAATCAGGCAGTTTCCTACAGTTGAGATGTTAATATTTAGGGGCAATGGGTCCAAATTAAATTTGAAATATTTAAACCAGAGGTCAGGAGATATTCTTTCAGAGAGGTGCAATTGGTGGAATTTACTACTAGGGTTTCTGAATGAGCAGCGAATGGGTTAACATTCAAAGTTAGATTTCTTAGCTAAATAAAGAAATGATGATGTGGAGATGCCGGTGTTGGACTGGGGTGGACAAGAAATGATGGAGAGAGAGAGAAAGATTGAGGAATAGGGACTGTAAAACTGATTAGGATGATTTGTTCCAGGAAAGCATCAAGCGCAATAGGGACCGGTTGAGCTGAATTGCCTGTTTCAACTTTGTGACTTCAATGTCTTTCTGCTTCGGATCGTAGTGTAATCAAGTAGGACGTTAGGGAGAGACGTTGAATGATGAGGGTGTGGTCAGCCATGATGAAGCCTACAGAGAAGGTGAGGAAGAAGAATACAGAAGTTGCCCCATACTCTAAGGGTATCCTTTGTGGTTTTGATTAGGACAGCTTCAATAATGTGACAGAGCAGAAACATTAACGGAGGGATTGAACCATCTAGTTGCAGGAAGCATGGTTATTTGGAACTATGATAGTGTAAAATACTGCATGATGACTAGAAGATATAGATGATATTGTTGATGATATTGAATGATGGATGTGTAATGATTGTAACAAGGTCAACCAGCTGGGCCTCATAGAATATGAGTTCCCTGATTGCAACTAAATATGGTCCAATCAGGGAGCCCTGGCTGACAGATATAAACAGGAGTGTCAGACATACTGTTCACTGTGAGAGCTGGCTCTGAGGGAGCTGGATCAGTATCAAAGACTCTCTACATGTAAATAAAGGGTGACTTGGTGACGGGATACTGGCTTTTGTGGAGTTATTTCAGGATGTACATTAGTAACTCTTGAAGAATGTTCATTGTCATTTTATCCATGATGTGCACACTTGGAAC